GACATGCGATACTAATGTGAGGCCGGTGAAGGGATAAAATTCCTGCGGGGCCCGCCCGGATCACCGTGTCAAGAGGCTGCAGGGGCGAGAAAACGGAAATCAAGAGATGCAAGAGGCGGCGCTGCGGCTTCCCCGACAAAATGGCCGATGGAGACTATTTAGCCGAGCCCGCCGCCCCGCCCACGTGCTTGCCCGCGCCAGGAATTCTGGGACTTGTAGTTTCCCAGAGGCAGCATGGCTGGGAAAACCTGGGGCCGGTGGGTTTCCGGAACCGCAATTCCCAGCAGGGAGTTCGCGCCCAGCGCTGGCCCGCAGGACCAGGACGGTCCGGGTGGGTGCAGCGCTACCCGCGAGAGCCCGCAGGTCGGGACCGTCCACTCCGCGCGCTCGCAGGCTCTCCTCACCCTAGAGCGGCGGCACCTAGGGGTCAGAGCTGGGGGTAATCCCCATCGGTCACCCTGGAGGCCGGGGTAATGTAATGGCACCTCCTTTGGACTCGATGGCCGCCCCTCAGCATCTCCCGCATCCAAATTCCAGCCTCTCCTCCCCCCCGCGTTGCTGGAGCCCCGTTAGTCCCACCGAGGTTCGAGGTGGGAGCTGCCCTCCCTCCCTCCCCGCGGGGTTGGGCCGCCTCCCTGTCCTCTCGCGCGGTGGTTTTCAGGCTCCTGCGTGCATCTCCTGAAGGATGGATAAAACACAGTGAGACCCAGAGTTCGGGTTCAGGAGGTCCGGGTGTGACCCGAGAATCGGCGAATCTAGCGAGCTCCCGGGGTCAGCACGGGCCGGGCGAACACACCGGAAAGCCCGCCCGTGGGTGTGAACACAGAGCCGTGAACCCGACAGGTGCCTGATCGGGACTGAAGGGCGCTCCCCGAGACGCTCGCTGGTGCAGAGTCAGGTCGCAGAGACTCAAGCTGCGCACAGAAAACACGCCCGGGACTTGGGGAATGGGCTCACCCCAGCGGGCCTCCGCGGGGCTCAGTGGTTGGCTTTCTGGAAGCGAGGAGATAGACTAAAAATTAGGGGTCCTTAACCATTTTTAAAAAATGCCATGACTGTCTTGTGAAGCCTCTGCACCCCTTCTCAGAATATGCTCTCAGTGCATGAAATAAAACATCTAGGGTTACAAAGGAAACCAGTTATAGTGAACTTAAAAGCAATACATGGATAACATAGTGTTTCTTGATCATTGCATTAACAAGATCTAGCAGTAGGTCTGACCACTAGAATTTCAAAAGGTGATAACATATTTTGAGATATCTGAAACAGCAGAAATAGGAATATACCCGTGACCTCTATTGGGGCAAAGTGACAGGTCCTTCTAATACTACTGTGCTGTCCCCAGCATTCCTAATGAAGGAAATACTACACTTGGCTTAGAAGTTAGTGACAATGGAGGTGTAATCCTTTTTCCTGTCCAGGTTTAGGAGTTCTCCCCCTTTTCCCCGACCCCCACAGTTTATCCATGGACAAGTATCTGCAGACCACAGGTGTAGAATATCTGGATTTAATAATCTGTTGTAATTAAAGCTGGTATAGGTACCATCTAGTGCTTACCACGTGCCTGTTGTAAGGTTTATACACAATATTATTAATCTAGAGCCATTCTATGATGTAGTTATTACTCTCTTTAACAGAGGCAGAAATGGGGGCTTTTGTAGGTTACATAATTTGCCTTAAAAAAAATCAAATTCTTAACTCTGAGGAATCCAACTACATTTTTGGTCCTCTAGTCCTGATTTAAAATGAATAACACATTTATATCCAAACTACAGTGTGAAGTTTTAGAGCTGGTTCCAAAACAAGGAGAATTAGAAGACTTAAAACCTCATATTTCTAGTTCTGAATGGTACCAGTCTAGTTTAAGGTGATGATATTCAGCCTTATTTCCGAAGAAAGTTTAGATCACTAGCAGAGCACAGTAGTATGGACTAAAGGAATCAGGGAAGATTTTTTTAAAAAAAGTAGAATAGTTGAAAAATAAAAGCTCCCAATGCTAGAGATAGACCCCCAAACTGGCTTTTACTGTCTTAAAGGCTAAGAGAGAGACACACAGAGAGAAATGAGCTAGAAAATCCCTATGTCTACAGGGTGAGAACATACCAGTTGTGCAGGAGGAGTGACTTTGCTCGGCCCTGAGCCACAGGAGATATTTTTCTGGGGGCCCTCATAAAGGGGACACTGTGATGTATTGCACAGCATCCCAGCAGTTTGCCTACATGAGGACAATGGTGGGTTTTGTGCAGCTGTTTCTGCTACCTGCTAGTCATGAGGACATGCTATCCCGTGAGGGCTTTGGGTCCTCCTTCATCCATAGTTTGCCGTCTTCCCCCGCCCCCCCGCATGCACCCCCCGCCCCAACACACACATACAAAATGGGAAGAGGCTCTAGGGCAGCGGTTCTCAACCTGTGGGTCGCGACCCCTTTGGGGGTCGCCTAAGACCATCGGAAAACACATATATAATTACACATTGTTTTTGTGATTAATCACTATGCTTTAATTATGTTCAATTTGTAACAATGAAATTGGGGGTCACCACCACATGAGGAGCTGTATTAAAGGGTCGCGGCATTAGGAAGGTTGAGAACCACTGCTCTAGGGTCTTTTTACTGCCTCAGTGAGATTCACAGAGCTTATTAGTTACATTTATTTGTTACATTTTCAAATAATATACTGTAATGATATTTTTTTTCAGCCTCCAGAAAACTTTTCAAGTGACATACCTGGAAATTGAAAGCAATAGGTCCAATCTGTTTTTATTCTGAAAAAGTACAATAAGTACACTATATTTCTAGACCTTTTAGACACTCTGTAGTGTTCAGGTCCGTTAGAAGTCAGTGAAAATCTTGAATTATCATGCTTGGTTGTTATATTAGCAATGTGTGACATAAATGAAATGCTTGAAACATTTCGTATATGATAAGAAGGGTTTAATTCCTTTTCGTATCATTGAACGTAGAATTCTGTTACAGCAAAACTCATTATCTATATTCATGTAGGTCAAAAGTAAAATCTATCCCCGGAAACTTCCTTAACTACAGAGAATTGTTCACCAGCCAGGAGCTGAGGAACCCTCCACACCCCAGGTCCTTAACACATCAAAGTAACAGGCCTTTACAACAGAAATATAAGGAAGCCCGCCCCTGGGAGTTGCCTTTTGGTCGGCAAGGTCAGGGAGTCCTTGGGACACTCAGAAGGGAAATGGAGACTTGGTGATCTTGAGTAGAGGAGGCGGAGACCTAGCATCTCTCAGACGGAGGCGATGAGCCCCCTGGACAGCATGGGAAAGAAAGGAATCAAGAGTCACAAGCCAGCTAACTTCCAGAAAGCTCTTCGAAAAGGGATACGTATTGTTTCCCTTTGGGAAGCCATAGTAAAGTTTTGTTGAGGTTTAACTTCTAGTTACAGACAGGGTACTCTACCACATTGTGAAGAGATGGTCCCCCCTTTCCTAATATATCGACACATTAAAGGACATAAGCTCTGTGGTCGTCTCAATAAGAAGAAAAAAAATTGATTTTGATCACTTGATTCTATGCTCCAAGAACACCCCTCCCCCACTTTTTCCCAGTGAGGGAAGGGCAGAAGACCACAGTGTGGGGGCGAAAGCTGCGTGTTATTTGATTTCCTAGAACTTTCTGGAAGTGGGGTGATACAGGAGAGTGTTGCTTCTTATTTCAAGGGTAGGCCATTGACCTTTCCAAGTCTCAAATTTTTATGCTGATATTTTCAGTGTAATAATAGCTTTCCTGAATTCTTTTCTTAGCTCACTTTAATATAAAAGCTACTTAATCGATTCTATTACTCTTTGAACTGCGCCACCAGCTATTGTATAGGTTGAGTATAACCGTGTCACAGTCCGCCCACTGCTGTACGTCATCCCAGGCCAACCACGCATGACCTTACATTACAGAGCTCTGGGAACAGCCACATCCAGATGCAGATCAATGGCACCGCATCTTCATAAAATCCCATTTAATTGCTATCCTCCTCTTCGTGTTCTGTCAGTTTCTTAGGCCACAGGCTCTACATTTTCACGACTTAAGTTTAATCTTACTTTATTGTAAACATGGTCTGTATTGAATGGATTTATAATGTTCTTAAAACAACCTCACCCAAGACCTTGTTTCTTGTGTGACAGGAGTGTATCTCATGTAAGCAAACAATAGAGAAATACTCACGGGGAGAAGAGTAACAGCTCGGACAGGGTGCATGCCGAGCTCCGGGTCAGGGCTCAGTGTCCATGCACTGACTGTGTTCTTCAGCCAGCCTCGTCCTGAACTCGGGAACACAGATCTCAGACGGGCAGTCAGCTCCGTACCGCCCTTCCTCCGGGGTTGTTCTCTCTACGCTGGTGATTTCATACATTTTCTCTCTTCTCAAATCCCAGTTCCTTCCCCTGTGTTCATCCTCGGCTGATGACCTTGCTCACACTGAATGAGAACATTGAAGGGACCAGGTGGGGCAAACCTCACCCAGACACCAAATTCCAGACCTCCTTCCATTTGTACCACCGTCCTTTGCCTTGTTGTTAAAATAGATGAATTATCCCAGTTTTCCTCTGCTGCTCTCTCAAGGAAGTTGCATTTATAATCAATCTCTCTCTCTCTCTCTCTCTCTCTCTCTCTCTCTCTCTTTCTCATTCTCCCCTCTACTTAAACAATCCACCAGGATGCAACTATTCTCTAGAATCTTCCATCTTAAAAGGACAAAAACCAAAGCTTCCCTTGGTCTTCTATCCTTTCCTTGCTAGGACCCATTCCCCCCCAGCCCTCCAAGCAAGCCTCTGTCTCCCTGCTATGCCGAGGCCATTCATGTCAAGGTTCCTTGACCTCTCTCTTGCCAACCCAGTGCCGCTCACTGTTCTTATCTTACTAGACCCCGTATGCAGCACTTCTCGAAGCGAACTACTCCCTTCTTCTCTTGGCTTCGATGACATCAGACTCTCTTGGCCTTTTTCCATGTCATTGATCACACTATTTCCAATTTTTTTGCTGGCTCCTTGTCTACTCAAACTGTGCCAATGCAGTGTTTTAAATAGGAGGGAAATCGGGGGACAGCGGCGGCCTGGGAGCCGAGGGAAGGAAGTGGGCACTCCAGGGGCCGGGTTAGCAGTGGTTGGTAGACAGCAGCAGGAGATAGTTCTGTTCAGAGTTGCACTCAGTGGCGTCATGGTGTTGGCATGAGGGGACAAAGCCGAAACAGAGGGGACAGTTTTCAAACATTCATGAGATCAGGGAGGGTCTCAGCTCATTTCTACTGGGGTTACATGGTTGCAATAAGCTAAGAGCAAAAGGAAATGCATTAGAATTTCTCCTTAAGCTAAAACAAACAAACAAAAAAACAGAGAGGAAGTTATTCTTCACCAAAAGCATCTTTGAGAAATGGGTAGGACAAGGAGACTGTAAGAAAACCAATTTAAAATGTTTTCAATTATAGTTGACATGCAATATTAGTGTTTTAGGTGTACAACACAGTAATAAAACATTAAATAAAATTTAAAAAAGTCTACTCTTGAATTCAGCTCACCTTAATTCCCTTTGAGGAGTAGGCCTCTTTAATAATAATAATGCTCCTTAATCAAAACATCTGAGAATTTGCAGAGCTGTCAGTAACAGAACAGAATTTGGAGGGCCATGTCGTTGCTTCTTGGAGAAAAATTCCACAATTAAAAATAAAGGACCCCACGTGACATGACAGGCAATATCCACAATAGCATTTTTCATGGTAACTTCAGAAAGGGATTTCATGTGGTGTGTGTGTTGTTGTTTTTAAAAATAATAGATGATAAAGAGTGAAGACCTTCCCCCTCTTAGAAACAGTTGTGTATTTATTAAAACAACCCAGTCACAAAAACCAAATCTGGCTTTTCAAAGTAAACACATCATTTTCGATGTAATTGCTGTAATTAGCTGTGGGAACATCACTGGCCATTAGCAGAAAAAACAGATGGAATGAGGTTTGTCTTCATGCATGAGCGAGGATGTCATGCAAACGCCAATTGTTAGCTATAGCTCAGTCACCCTGTTGTACGGCCGGGACGCTGAGTTACAAATAATCGTGGAAATGTACAGCCAGACCCTGAATGACCTCTTTTAGTTACTCAGAATGAACATTGTGGATGTCGTCCGGGGTAGCTCATTAAAACGTGTGGAGATTGCAAAATCAGTTCAAACAAAAATTTGAGCCAACTTCCGAGCAAAAGCAAGAGCTACTATTTCCCATATTGATCCCACTGTTTCAGCGAATGGCGCTGCCACTGCCCCAGCAGCCCTGGTGAGAAACCTGGGGGTCTTTTCACCCTCTCCTCCCCGCCTTCCCTTTCTGCTTGGCCTCCGTCTGCCGCCAACTCATGAGCACCTACCTGCAGCCTCACTATTGCCTTGGGCCTGGGTAGGGTCCTAGTTAGGAAGCAAGATAGTGTGAACTCTTAGGGGTTCGAAAGGGGAATGGGGCTGGCGTGCGTTCTTAAAAAGCACCCGGGGGGTTCTGATTCCCCCTCCCTCCCACATGGTGAAGAGCCTCAAGGTATAATATAGATGCTCAAGATCGAAGGGAATACAGTAACTTCCATAGCAGGGAGATTTTTCAAACCCCAAGTGAATCATCCCAGCAACATAAAGGAACAAAAGGGCACTTGAAGGAGACATGAGACAACATGAAAGGCAGCAGGACAAGCCAGAGATGTGGATTTGAGATCTTCAATACAGATCTTGGACCCCCACCTCCGCCTGTCTCTGGGCAATACGACTCTGCCCAGGTCTGACCCTGTATCCTTCTCTGAAGGTGATGCCAACATGATTAATTCTGTGTCTTGTCTCCCTTCCTAGACTGGTTTGACATAACCACAGCCTAAAGCCAGACCGCCATGGCCATCCAGGTGAACCAACTTCGTTTTAAGCACCTGCTCTGTTCCGGGCTCTGTGTGGGACACATGGAACTCTGTCTTCAGGGAGGTTTCAGGTCAGTGTGGGAGGACATGTGACACGTGAGTGCACTGCAGGGGACGGCTCAGCAGGAGTCTCCCCAGAGCAGATGGTGGGTTAGCACTGTGGGTAACTGGGCCTCAATCCTGCAGGGGACTTTCAGAGGGACCGCACTGAACCTCTCTGCTCACAGTGTGGCCAGCAGCACTGGCATCAGCCGGGAGCTTGTCAGAAATGCCACATCCCGGGCCCCATCCCAGCCCTGCTGAATCAGAATTTGCACATTACAGTTTGAGAGGCTTGGCCTTCCATCTTTCATCTTTATCAAACGTGATAGCTTTGATATAAAACAAATTTTTCTATATTTTAGGACTTGATCCCAACAAACTGGATCCATCTGGATAACTTCTTTGAGGTTGCCAGTGTTTGAAGTGGACATTAAAGTCTTCCAGTCCTTAGAAAGCTCTTTAAAATGCAACTCTACTTACCTGCATTTTATCATCATTATAACTCGGTTGCAGAGACAGAAGGCTCAGGCAACCAACTGTTCTGTCAAATGCAAATTTTGTATGGGAAATACTTCTGGGAGAAAACAGAGCGGCCGTCATGCGAGAAGTTATTTTTAAAGGACTAGACCAAATGGCTCCTGTACTTGAAAGTTTTATCAAAAATTTCAATGAATAGAGGAAACTTTGTGGAAGATAACACAAGCACACATTGAAATAGATAGATGCCCTCCTCCAAATGTAACCAAAGTTTCATATGTAAATTATGAAACATCAAAAATAACTAGCTCAATGTTTATTTGTGTGCATCCTTGATGTTGACATGTGGGTTTACTTTTGATACTCATCTTCATTTCATCTCTAACACAAGGACTAAACTAAGGCGGTAAAACTAACTTTTCAGGTAGTATTGCTGCATAACAAACCACCCCAAATTTCGATGGTTTCATAAAGCAGTGATTTATTCTCACTCATGTGTACAGGTTGGCTGAGGTGGCTCTGCCATCTCAGCTGGGCTCCCTGAGCTTGGCTGTAAGGCTGCATCTTGAACCTGGGTCTGTTCCTTGGACCCGTGGGCTCCCTACGGCATGTTCTCATGGTGAAGGGCAACATGTAAGTGGACAAACACAACTCCATCAACGTATGTCAAGCCCCTTATGTCCCTCTTCTTCTAACATCTCATTAGCTAAAGCAACTCACACGGCCAAGTCCAAACCAAGGGTTGGAGAATACTATGGTCTGAAGGTTTGTGTCCCTCCGTAATTCATATGTTGAAACCTAATCCCTAAGGTGATGATATTGGGAGGTGAGGCCTTTGGGAGGTGCTAGGTCACGAGGGCTCCTCCCTCATGTTTGGGGTAAGTGTCCTATTAAAAGAGGCCCTAGAGGGATCTCTTGAGCTCTTCCACCGTGCGAGGAAACGGGGTAGGTCGGCAGTCTGTGACAGGTTTTACCGGATTCCAACTAGCACCCTAATCTTGGACTTAAGAACTGGGAGAAATAAATTTCTGTTGTTCATAAACTTCCCAGTCTCTGGTATTTTGTTACAGCAGCCTGAACAGACTAAGACAAAGAAGTATGCTCTGCCAACCATAAAGGCAAGTGGCATGGTCAAGCCCAACTTTAGTGGGGCGGGGTAGTGCACTCTTCCCAGAATTAGCGGGTTAGAGGGAGTGAATATTGGAAGAACAATAATCTTGTCTACTCACAATAGAAAAATTGAGGCACAGCAATTTGCATCATAAGTCCTGGTGCTGATACTTAAGTGATTTTCTTATCCTAAGAGAAAAGGAGGACACAAGCGTCGAGTATCGATAGTTACCAAACATTCTGCTGGGGGGTTTCTCATGTGCTATTTCATTCAACCTTTCACACCAGCATGAGGAAGGGATCTGTGACCCCACTGAACACATGAGGTGATTGGCCGCAGAGCTGGTAAGTAGAAAGTCTAAGAGTGGGGCCTAGTTTTTTTTTTCTGGCAGCTTCAATGCTTTGAATATTGGGTCACATTTTGTGTGTATGTGTGTGTCATGGAAAATCAAGCACTTATTTCTTAGGGGAAAACATCATCTTTACACTGTTCCTTTTTACCCAGATGCAAGCAGAGCTGTATGTTTTTTTAGCATAGCTCCGGTCACACTTGATACTCAAATTGTTGGCTCAAATGGATTCTCTAGAATACTCAGGTGGTCCATATAGATGGGTTGCTCCGTGCATGCTTTTGGGGCTTCTGGGTCAGAGAGGCTGAATGCTCAGGTAACTTGAGGGCAACTAGTCCCTCTTTACTGTCTTGCTGTCTTATGGGGATGGGGATGTGGAGTGGGAAGAAGGCGAAATCAGGAATTCTGGCCAGGAAATGCTGCCTGGAGAGGATTTCAGATGGGTCTACTGATACTGTCTTCCCCACCGCACCCATCTGAAATGCCCCGGCAACTTAAAGGTGAGCCCGTTTGTTGGGAGTGTTTAGCAAACATTGTGCCAGGCACACTAATGGCAGTGCAGAGAAAGATAGATTGAGGACAGGGGTTGATTGGATTTCTTCATGAATCTGTGTTTTTACAGGGGATTCTATGGGCTGCTTTATTATTTTTTAAATATATTTTATTGATTTTTTACAGAGAGGAAGGGAGAAGGAGAGGGATAGTTAGAAACATCGATGAGAGAGAAACATTGATTTAGCTGCTTCCTGCACACTCCCAACTGGGGATGTGCCCTCAACCAAGGTACATGCCCTTGACTGGCATCGAACCTGGGACCCTTCAGTCCGCAGGCCGATGCTCTATCCACTGAGCCACACCGGTCAGGGCTCTATGGACTGCTTTAACCCACCAGGCGGAGAAGGCTCTTGGCTTTTATAGTGTTTTCATTCACCTGTTCATTTCAGGTTAGTGGGAGGGTTCCTGTTCTACGTGGGGATGGCGGGGGACAGTGTCTGGCTTGTGTTCTGGACGGGCCAGACACAGGAGCAACAGCTGCCCTGAGCCCATGCAGGACTCCAGGGGGGTTCCTGACCTGCTTCCCGCTCAGCTGGAGTCCCTGCAGAGACTGGCAGGGGCTTCTCCACGGACGCCCCGGCTTACCGCCAGCGTCTAACCCAAGTTCCCAGCCTTAGCACTCCTGACATTTTGAGTTGGATGATCTTTGTTGTGGGGGACTGTCCTGTGCATTGTGGGATGTTTAGGAGCCTCCCTGGCCACTAGCCACTGTATGACCACTCCATGATATGGCGATCAAAAATGTCCCCTAAGAGGCAAAATCACACTACCACTCCTGTCTTCTCACTCCGGTCCCCTGCTTGGAGAATTGCTGGTCTTACCTGGGTGTCACTCAGTAGAGGTGATTGCTGGGAATTCTGTTCTCAGGAGAACAAGAATGGAGAGGTGACTGGAAGGACTGGGGTACGAGGCAACCGTGACTTTGAATGTTGGCCCCTCTGGTGACTAACCATTGACGTCTTCCCCTAGCCCTTCTTCTCTCCCAGCCTTTCCTAACCGAAAAACAAACACACAAAAATCACATTCCTACCAACATTATTTTCATAAATGACTTTTACTTCTTTATCATTTCTCCTGACAGTAATTCTCGGCAATGTGCATATAACATGAAGGCAAACATAACTTTCAGAGGCCATCACAGAAATGGTCCCGTCATCCTCATTTTCTCAAACCATTAAAATATTTTCATTTATAAAAATTAATCTAAATATAAATATTGACACTGAAGATCAAAATCACTTGATGACAAAATAATTCTTCTGGAACTATAACATATACTTATGATTTTTAATAGTAAATTAAATCTTTGCACTTTTTTTGGCACAAGGAAACCTTTATAAAAATTCAAATGCCATAGAGCAGGCTTCTTCTTTTCTTCTTCTTCTTCTTTTTTTTTTTTTTTTGCAAGGCTCACACAGTACACATTTTCGTCAAGGAAAACTGAATATTTTAACACTGTAACACAACAATAGCTGCTTTTCATGCCTCCTAAAGAAAACGTTCTATTTGGAACCAGATCTTTTCTGTTGTGTTTTTCAAATTTGAATTTGTTTGCTTTGAACCATACCAACAGAGCAGAAGACCAAAGATTGACTTTATTTCCAAGGCATTATTTCTGTTGGAGGAGACATACACAGCATCAGCAAGAATAATTATTGGAAGATAGATAGACCCCCATCAGGAATGCACCACAACACACATTTCAGTAGCAAGTCAGGTCTGGGAATGTGCCGACCAGCAAAAGAGCGTAGCCGTTGGAAACAACACAGAGACGGAGGGAGGCTCTTCGGCGTGAGGCATTCTAACTAAGCTTCCAGGTGTGACTTTGCAAATTAATGTCTATGGCCCTCAGTCTCCACATATAAAAAAAAAAGGCGGAACCTTCTGAATAGGGCTGCTCTAAGGATTAAAATAAGAAGGATAATAAACATCAGTCATTCTATTCCCTTGCCTCCCATCTTTGCCTTCTTCCTTAGATTCAGAATATATTAGCAGAATGATCGATTGAGTGAAATTCCAGTTTCATTTTGCTTTTATAAACACAGTCTACATAGTCATGCATTTGAGACCTGAAACAGAGTGAGTATCAACTCTGTGTCCATTAAATTCACAGTTTGTCCTGAAAGTTTTCTGGCTATTCCTTAACTATTTTTGTCTTAATGGTCATTTTACTACTTTGGCTGAATATTTATTGGGAAGTAAATTTTGGAGGACAACATTTTCTCATGTGGCTCTAGTCTGCGACAGTGCATTGAGCGATACCTCATTTAGCGGTGGTCATCGCTAACCCACGTCACGTTGGTTCTGGACAGTGCCCTAAAGTTAAGCCAGTGATGGGCTTTCTCAAGACCCTCTCCACTCCAGAGTGGGGAAAGTCTCAGGAAGTCCAAGAAAGAACCTAAATTCTCAATGAGCCATAGTTTGAAATGGGCCTGGGCATGGCATGGGTGAGGCAGAGCTTTCTATTCTGTGGCTGGTGATCGCAAAGCAATGAGAATGACGGGTGGTGCGGTGGGCTGGGGGCCTAGCAGGGAGGAAGTGGCTGAAGGGAGACCTGCATCTTTGAAGGGCGAGCACTCTCCAATTGTGACAGTCCCTAGTGCTCACACAGGGGCATTTTCATCTTTTCCCTTAGCATTTGCAAGATAAGATGCTGGTGAGAGATTAGTAAGAACTGATGATGAATTAAGTGAAAATACCCATCTCCCTTCCCTCCACCCCCACCCTCACCCCCACCTCACCATTTTTCTTTGGACAAATTGTTGATATATCATTTTAGTTGAAGCAAAAGGATTAAAAAAAAAAATCACAAAGACAACATACAGTAGCAAAGCAGACAGGGACATGATGCAGTTTTGGACGTGGAACTCTACTGTTGGAAGCCAGCATCTCGGTTTTCTGTCCTGGCTTCTCCTGGGAGCCTAAGGCAGAGAGCGGGCAAGATCGCCATGCCGATGTCTGGGACCGCTCGCTGGGTGAGGTATCAGGACAGCCCTGTGCACCGTGGCTCCCCAGGCCCTCTCCTCAGGCGGAGATCCATATAGTAGTCAATGGCTGTTGGGTCAAGGCACTGTCGTGTACGCCGGAGGCAGTGGGTCACTGGCAGTGGCGCTCCGTGGCGCTAATACATCACAGCGGATTCCAGAGTGGGCTCCTGAGGCGAGACAGTGAGCACACGGTCAGCCACGTGGCAGAAGGGAGGAGAGGCATGGGAAACGGCTGCTGCTTTTTTATGTCACAGAAGGTATTCATCTCATTGACCAGTTACATTGTTCACGGTATTTAAAAAGTGATGCATGTTACTATGTGCATTTTAATCCACCTGAAATTTATTTGGGTATATGGACTACTAAGGCAAGTTGGTGCCCTTCCCACTACCACCCCCTTGGCCAATCTCCCAAGCACATTAAAAAAAGGAAATCTATCCTTTCCCTCCTAGCTCTTAATGCTTTAAAAAATTCACATAACGCATTTTCTATGTGCCTGCACTGTATCTGAGCTTTCTCATCTATTCCATTCATCACTAATTCCTTGATAGGAGCAATTTTCTACCATTATGCAGCAAGGATTTTTAAAACATGCAATCCCTGAATATTTAGTCAGGGGCACTGACCGCCCTTCCCTTAGATTGTCAAATAAAAAAAATGATAACAGCCAACACAACAATAGCGATCCAGTGTGAATGAATCAAAATTATTCCTATTTTTTATCTGATTGGCAAAAAATATGTAATTTTGGTGGGCCGCAGAATTTGAGTAATTAGTTTATGTGTGCCCAGAGATGAAAAAGGTTGAAAATCGCTGCTTTACAGCTTTTAATTTGTTTGAATATCTGGCAGGAAAATCACTTTAACTTTGCAAAACGCTTTTGTCTATTTTTTTCTGATTTATTTCTACATAAACCTTAAAAAAGTCCCACTGAGATTTTTATAAGAACTGGATTAAACTATAAATTAATAGGAGAAATGACTTTTCTTATTGAATTATTGATGTGACTTATCAGTATCTCAATATTAAAGGTACCCTTGCATTCTTGTAAAATTTATCTGGTAATTTATTATTTAATGTTCTTCTGTGTCTAATTTGTTAATATTTTACTTAGTATGCATAATTTCTCTGAAGAAATACAATTAGTGTGTGGTTTGTGTATATCTCTGTATATATGTCTATGTGAATATGTGTGTGTGTGTGTGTGTGTGGTATGTCTATGTGAATGTGTGTGTGTGTGTGTGAGAATATGGAGCATACGTACACACTTACCAGCCATGTTAGGCTTTGGTACTTGAGGTTATAGTAGCTTCACAACATATCTTTTAGTTTCTAATTTTTTTTGCTCTGAAACATTTTATATTGCACGGGAATTAACTGTTCCTTCAAAATTTATCAGCTAAATCACTTAGCCAGAGAATCTTTTTCTGAAGGTTTAATCAATTTAAAAATT